TTCTGGTTATAGCCGCAGCACTTTGGCTCTCGCAGAAGGGCATGGACGTTTCTGTCACCTGCAAAAGGTGCGAATGGGGGTGCACTGGGAGTCTAACGCTCATCTGTGGTTATACTGCCCTCTAGCAGATGAGCTTTGGATTTGGTGGATAAAACATTGGGATTTGGTGAGGGGTGGTTGGTGGCCTTGGACTGATGATTGGTTACTTTATGGCTTAGCACCAAGGCAGGACACCTCACTTGGGGAGGGTTGGGGATATGTCGCACAGGTTTGCAGAGGAATAATCTTAAACGAAATTTGGAGAGCCAGGAAATCAGTTGTGTTCAATCTTAAACGAAATTTGGAGAGCCAGGAATTCAGTTGTCTTTCTGAACACCAAGGTGGCGGTTCAGGAGCAACAGGCACGAATTTGTTCAAACATGAGATTACAGATACTGCCAGATTGGCAAAAATGCTTCAGAAGTTAAAAAAAAAAAGGGGTATCCCTGGTTCTTGAAGACGTGGGCCAGAGGGAATCAGTTGGCAGCAGTGACACTGGACAGAAAATTAGTAATTTCACGATGGCTGAAACCATCATGATGAGTACTAATCAGGCTATAAGATTCAGATGACTGCATTCAATGCCACCAGGTGGAGGGACTGCAGGGGCTAGGTCCCACTTACACGAATTAAGCGATATTGACAGTGGATAGCAGAGATCAACGGCCAGAATCTCTTAACCCGTGCAAGTGGGACCTTGCCCCAGGCCTACAGGCCAGGGCTTCTCAGTGAACATAGGATTGGTAATTTCGGTCTGCAGTTGCAGGCACTTTTTCAGGAGCTTCATGTTTAACTTTTTTGGAAAGTCCTTAAATTTTGAGTCAGTAGGGGACGCTGGACCCGGTTTCCAGCAGTGTAGTGAAGGTTTGTATTCTAGCAGTAGGTGGATCTTCGAGCTTGGCTGGCCAAGCGAAACTGGCTGAGGCTGCCAGGATAACTCCGGGTCGAATTGTGAGTTCCCCGGCCTCGACTACTGGCTTTGTAATAAAGTTTGAATCTTTCCAAAAAAAAAAAAAAAAAAAAAAGGGGGCTCACTAAGGCCAGGAATCCTCAACAAACAACCCGG